CAACCCTCGAACACATCTAAGATGTGCAGGTACCATTGACAATGCATTATCAACAATGCAAACTTCCTCGAAACACAATAAAATTGTGCCAGGTGCCCTTCCTCTCAAAAATACAATGTCTATAACTGGGATAATTAAAATGAAAGATTAGTTAAACAGTCTTCAAATCACTCAACAATTCACGAGGAGAAAACAAAGAAAAATCATATATAAGCATGTCGTATTTTATATGTGATAGAGGTTTCCTTTCCTCCATAAACTTCAACTTTGATTTTCTCGACTTACACAATGTATTTTTTTGAAAATTACCTCGCCAATGAACTTACTATATAGATCGATTGTTATTAAAGCAGTGCGTGTTTTATCAGACCAATAAAGATACTCGGCTAGCTTCGTCTCGTATCTTTATATCTGATAAAACACTGCTTCTTATGTTTTAAATATAGTCATCACGTAATCGTCTGAACAAGTTAAGCAATTCAAGATTGCTTTTGAAATAGAAATTTATAGTTCTCAGAGACATGCAGAACCTCGCTGTGTCATCAGCTTGAACCAATCATTGACATTGTATTAATAGGTACGGGCAATTACCTCGAAAGCACAATTGTGCCCAGGCTGAAAACTACTGGTGTTTGAACAGCACAAGCTTCGAAAACTGTTTACGCACTACCTTGTGGTGCATTCCTGCATTTCTCGTCTTGCTCAAATGGTGCATTCGGATCGTCACGTAACTCTGGCAGCAGCATTTAATCAACTTAAAAACATGGTTGTTTCCTGGAGTCGAATCAAACATGTGTTGGTCTAACGTACTAAAGACCCAGCTTCCAACACAGACTGATAACACTGTCGTAGCAATCGCACTTGAAACTAGTCCAGCGCCATGAGGTAAACCACCTCCATTTACATTTAGCATTCTCATTACACACTTCTCTGTTTCCTCGCATATTTTGATGAGGCCGAGTGATGGTAGTTTCAGGCCTCCATTTGTTTTCCATGTCACGAATAAATCTGGAATGCTTTCTTTGCTCGTTGTCAACACTGCTAGACATTGTGGACAGTGGATCTTTTTTTCCACCATCTTCACCACATACCCAGCGATATAAGATATTGCCGCCTCTTTGTACTCAGATAGTTCCATGGCGTTTGAAATATCACAGTAGTCGTGATCATCTGCAGCTGGCTGTCTCAACTCCAAGTCATATCTCCTTGCAATCGCCACATCAGAAATTCCAGTAGGTACGGAGTTGATTTCATGTTGATGCTGGACACTGTTCAATATCTCCGTATCATCTTGAGGAGTGCAGTTTCCACGTCCTCCTTCGATGTTGTGCCTCATCAGCAATTGCTTGTATGCTGCTACGAATTGGTGAGTTGTTGGATTATTATTCCACCCACCACAAGCTCGCACAGCTGAAAAGAATAATTCCAAGTGATCTTGGCTCATCTTGTACGTCAGAAGATACTTCAGGACAGGATTCTCCGCATTAACGAGATCTTCTGCTAATCCCACAACAGCATTGATACACAAAAGGAAACCAAGAAATCCTGTTTTCCTTTTTGACGTAAGGATCGACTGGCCATCAGGACCTTTTAGATTTCGAATGTACTCACTTGCCTCATCGAGAAACCTCTTTGTGTACTGATAGTTTGATCTTCTAATTGGCGCCTTGAAATTTCTCGCCAACGGATTCCTGGAATTCAGAACATCAAAAAGATGATCAAAAACACGAATGCATTGAACTGTTGGACCACACCCTTGAAATTGTGGCAATTTCAGCTTACCTTCACAATATTCCAAGGCATCTGCAACACTCGAACTGAGTGCCTGTGCTGCTAGGTTTACCTTCATTTTCTGTGGCTTCCATTTGATATGAGCGGATCGGAGCTTATTGGCAAGATGTAAGCCCTCTGACTCTTGTAATTTATGCAATTCTTCCACGAATTGCCACTTGATGGCGTTGCCATCCTTATCCTTTAGGACCTTCCAGTCCGACATGGTATTTCTTACCAACTTTATCATGTGACAAGCATCTAGGAAGATGTAGATCTTTGCTTTCGGGTCACATGGATGTTGGAAGTACGCTTGCAAGTTATCAGGTGACAGTTGAGCGCCGAGCAATTTCAACATCGCCTGGTGAGACGTGGGCCCATCACAGGTAAAAGACACCACCTTCACCCCCACTTCGTGCAACTTGGTTATGCATTCTTTGGTCAAGTTTGCTTTCTGCTCTCCGGTAAGACCATTCACTAGAAAATATCCGCATGGTACTTTCCAACCGGAGTTCACCGAGACTGCCATAAAAACAAGAGCATCTGTTGCTTCGGGCAGCGAGTCGTCATTGATGCCTGTGCCAAGGTCAACATAACCACGGAACTGCTTACCATCCCATTCAACATGTTTGCGTATGGCCATCTCATCGAGCATTAGTGCACAAACAACTTCTTGGTTATCTCTTTTTGCAGCTAGAACTTTGGCTTTCAGAGCTGTCAGCGCATCCTTTGTAAAACCTGGCTCGCCATTCATCGAACTATACCATGACCGAATCACGTTTACATGTGGCAGCCCTAAATCAAAACTTTTTCGCACATAGTTATACGCTTTAGTTGAATAAAATTTCAAGGTCAGGGCAAATGACCTTAGCTCAGGTGGATACGCCCCAAGATTTTTCTTTTTCTTTTGCGTCACCAACCTCTTCATAAGTTCCTTTGGAACTCCAGAAAAAGTTGATTCTAGAATAGTCACACAATCACTATTGATCAGATTTTTTTCTCTCAATTCACTTACCACTGCAGTCAACGTGCTAACCTTCTTATTCCTTCTATTGGTTTTCTTCTGAGATGTCTTTAATCTCTTCTGTAAATTTTCAACTTTATTTATTAGATCATCAACTTGACTTCTCACTCTACGAGGAGACTTTACACAATATGGGTGATCATGTACATTCTTTTCAGAAGAACTGGTCATTCGCGCCCTTTTTTGAGACGCGCTTACCACAGTCTCTGTTTCATCGAAATATTTTCTCTTGCCTCCGGGTATACTTACGTTGTCTTCGATTGTTACCTTTTCAATCACCTCCTGCACACTCACACTATCCATGGCAATGATCTCTTCATTAACCACCTGCAAACTTAATGCTTCATCACTTACATTATCTTCATTTATTACTATTGTTTCTACTGAACTATTTTTTTCGTCTGACATACCATTAAAATATTCATGACTTGAGCCTTCCTTAGTACAAGCCTTTCCATACTTCATTACCTACGGGAGTTAGAGAATAATGAACATGTATTTACTTTATGCATGAACAATAGAAAACTCTTAGGCTTAGCTGCGATGCGTGAGAGTTCGCCCAACTTTATTATTTTACGCTGTTTAACGCCAAACGATATTACTAGTCAAGGGAAGAAGAGTCTAGCTTAATTGCGCATTAATGGGTTAACCAATGTATGTGTGGTTATGCCGTTGTTATTCAACTGTCTACCAATCTAACACACTCAATTTGCAATGCACCCAAATATGTCTGACTTAATTATTTTACTCTAACGCCATACGATTTTACTCGTCAAGGAAACTAGCTTCTTGGACAATAAGGGACCGGTCATTATTTATGGAAGGGCGGGGAGGGAAAAATAAGGGGGGGGCATATTTTTTAAAGAAAATGAGGGGGGTTGCAATTAAATTTGAAGGAATTTGCTTAATAAGCTTGGTATCCATTTGGTTGTAAATGTTGCGACTAAATCATGGTCACTGATGTGAAATAGTCTGAATTTATCTTGTCTTCTGTGTGCTGTATGCAAATCAGTCTTTACTGATTGAAGAGATAAATTGATAATGTATTATTACATCAGCTATCTTGATGTGGTTAAATACATTTAATTTAAGCAAGGTTAATGGCAGATGTATTATGCAGGCCACATCCGCTGAGGGAGTCTGTGACGTCATATCGATCAAAGGGGGTTGTTTCGCGCCTTGTGATCAGTGCTTCGGTCTGGGTATTTATTCTGCCATTGTATGCTTTAAGCCTGTTTTCCACTAGCGAATTTCTTCGCGCGAAGCGAATTTTTATTGTTAAAATTGAAAAGAATTTGTTAAAAATCTAATTAGTTTCAGCTGAGAGCTCATAAGACAAAAGATTCGCGCGACAAATTTCGCTAGTGGAAAACCGGCTTAATGCTTTGCCTAGCTGCAGCAAATTTAGCGCTTTGATACCTAAATTCCCCAAACCCATGTTTATTCTAGAGGATTTTATCTGGTAGTGTGTCAGATTGTTGCTCTTCTTGTTGCTGCGCAGCTGCTATGGCAATACTTCGTGCCATCAAGTCTAGTTGCAACCTTGGACCTGACAAACGGCACCTGCCTTCAAACACTAATACTCTGCCGTTAAACATGGTAAGTTACAATCGCCCAGACCAAATTGAAACTTGATTTTAGTGTTATATATAAAAATACTCCCCTTATTTTCTGCTAATATATATTTTTGGTCGACGTGATATATATCTTGTCACTTCCACATTCTTATTTAATCATTAACACTGTAACGCCTGGGTATCTCCATTTGACGAGTAAAAATGAAAATGGGGGGGGGGGGTCAAAGAAAAATATTCTAATATGCAGGGGGGTCATCATTAAATTTCTGCTCTTTTAAGGGGGGTCTTTCAATTTTAAAAATTTAGAAAAGAAAAAATTCCCCTCCCCCTTCCATAAATAATGACCGGTCCCTAAACGGTCTCCCTGAATATCTCAATTGTTACGTACGTTTGCAAATTTTGCCACTTAATTGAGTATGTATTTTGTTCATTTCACTCATATTATATATCATTACATGATATTTCTTGTCAGTTTGTTGAAACATACAACTGATAGTGAAATAGATATGTTGCATATTATACACCCTCTGATGTTTATAATGCAAAATCTGTTGTGTAAATGGCATTTCTTCAACTCCCCCCCCCCCAATTTATGGCCTACCAATGCTTTCATGCTTATAAAATTATTGCAACAGCTGTTTATTGACACAATTATCCAGTCACCATTTCATGGTTCAAGAATTATTGTGGCAGCTTTGATACAAATTAAGTTATTCAGCTATCATTCAAAGACTTTCAGAAATTGGTCCAGGTGGAGTTGCCAGCTCCCCCCCCCCCCCCC